CCCCCCCCAACACACACACAACATTACATCATCATCATCATCATCATCGTTCCCTAGCATAAACCCTGCTTGGGCGTACCTCGGATGTTACCTGGACAGCAGTTGCAGGAAGCTAACAATGATATGCAAAACTGTGATTAACTATCGTAACTGTTATTCGGAATGACTAGGCGTAAATTAGGCGTGAAGGCAGTGAAATAGGCGCGAAGCAGTGAAAGTCGCCAGCTCAACTGGTGGAATGCCTTCAAAACCGATTCACTGGAGTAAGATAAGACGAAAGTCGAATCATAAAGAACTGCCCAGTGAAGCATACAGGCAGAGAGGGAAAAGCAGCCAACAACCGAGGAGGGGGCAGATGAACCCTTGGCAGAACGGGAAAACGGATTCAAATTTCAAACCCTAAAACCTACCAGTTTTGGAGACCATTGTTCTACCTACCATTGCAACTGTTCTCCTCCCAAAACGAAGTGGGATTGGTTTCTGGAGTGCTTTTTTTTTTTTTTGTTTGGTCATTAGTTTGGTACTTTGCTTGATCTTAGGAAAGTACAGGCTGCGACAATCGTCCTGGCTGTGTGGGCAATAAACCTGCAGAGAGACCAGACCCAAGGACCTTCAACTTTGCAGTTCGCTAAAAGTAATGGCTGGTACCACTGTCCGGAGCAGAATAGACCTTCCTGATGTCAACATGCAGTATAAATTGGTACCAGTGCTGAATGGAGCCTTTTTTTTTTTTTTTTTTTTTTTTTAGGGGGGGGGGGGGGGGGCATCGCTCCACTACTCTCCAATACTCTCTTCATGCGCAAAAGAGAGAAAATATGGCTCTGTATCTTTTCATGTTCTAGCGCAAGATTGAGAGTCATTACTTTTGGCGAACTCCAATTTTATTTCCTTTTTCTGGAGCCATTACTTTTGGCGAACTGCAAATTTGCCAAGAAAGAAGAATAAGAGCATTTAGAAAGTAGAATAAGAGCATTTAGAAAGGGGATTGATTCTCTAAGGATCTAACACATCAATAGATTCGATTCCTTTTGGAAATTTGGAGGCCAAATAGCTCCAATGTCTGCGGCAGGCGCCAGAGTTGAACGAAAGAAAGTATCGCCCTCAGATAGATTCAGGAAAGTGCAAAGTGTGAGAGTAAGCCCTTACCTTTGTCAAACATGCGAGTAGTGTGCGACGGTGTCTGAAAGACATTCGGGGAACCTCAGGGCATAAAATGTTGGAAATGTGTATCTGGTCGGACTCGTCCACAAATTTACAAACATTTGGTGAAAATTTAAAAGAACAAAAAGAACCAATTGAGAACAACAGTGAACATACTACTGTTAAATACACATGAGGGCAGTACCGTAGATGGAAAGGAACAACGGATAGAAACAGAGAAAAAAACAAACCATAACAAAACAGAACGTAAAAAGAAATGGGGGCATCCTTACCTGTGCTCCCGAATGTCTCAATAGCGTAGAACTCTCCTTCCTCCATCCTTGTCTGTTCCCCTCCTTTGACGATGGGTACACTTTTCCCACCATGGATTTGATAAGGTCCAATGCTATGTCCATTCAAATTCCTTATGCTCTTCACTGCACCGAAAAATAAACAAAAAAGTGGGACGGTGATTACATACATGGATACACTACACACATCTGGGACCCATCAAAAGAGCTCCTAAATATCATTAAAATATGGGAATTATAGTAGTAGAGATCGTAAATATGGGAATTATAAATTTATTAAATTGCCATATTGCCGCATTTACGGTAATGATCCAGGTACATGCACAAATGCTGGTAATGATCCAGATACATGCACAAATGCGTAAATATGGGAATTATAAATTGCCATATTGCCATTTAATATATTGACGACTCTGGTCCAGAACCGCAGATCTCAAAATAGTTTCTTCGGCTTATCTTGCCATTTATTCCTGTTTTGGAAGTATGCTAAGGAAAACAAAAAAAACAACGTTGCTTTACAAAGACGCTAAATTAAATAAATTTCAACAACGCTGGATCTATGAGATGAAATTATTGAATCCTAAATTTTCGGAACAGATTGCCTTGATATCACAACCAATAGTAATTTTTTTAAAAAAAAGTCAATTGAAGACACATTGAGTAACTAATAATTAATAATTAGTAATTACAAAAGAGTTAATTACTAATTCTGAAATTGACAACAAAGTTAAGGAAACAACATGCAAAGTAGGCAATCAAGTAGAGGGGTAAAACCAGAAATTGAGCCTCGGTACTCGGCACAACAGTCCACATGTGTCCTGATTGCGGACCTGATAGATTTGGACTCGTAGAACATGATTACGAATGTATAAGGATGAGTAACGGGTCTACATACATTTAGAGGAATGTGAACCCGAGCGAAGCCCATTATTCAAAAGAAACAAGATATAATCTAACAGCAAACTGAAACTAGGTATGATTTCATGGACTACGTTCACAAAAACACAAGCGGGAGTATGGCATCTCTCTCTCTCTCTCTCTTTGCTTTCCAAATCAGGAAAGGCCATTACCAGGACACATAGCAGCAGCAGTGGGGACATACTCAGCTGAAATCACAATCTAAGATCCGGTACTGGGATTATGGGCCTCACTCCACAAACCACCACATGTACAAAAGACAAAAAAAAAATGGCTGTGAATCTTTCCATGTTCTAGCGGAATATTCATTCCCTGTTTGCACATTCGGTGAGCAGTGGAGAGAGGCCCTGTAAGTCTCCCTTCGTGAGCAGTGGAGCGAGGGCCTATAAGTCTCCCATATGCTCCCCAAAGAAATCCCATAGCTATCTCAAAATATGTATTCAATCTAGGATACAAGAGTGGCCCGGGGCCACCTGCCCGGCCGGGCCAAGAAAAAAAAAAAAAAAAAAAAAGTTACTTTTTAATTTTTAACTTTATTTTTTATTTTAAATTTCGTAAAGAATTCCGAATTTGGTAAAGAATTCAGAATTTGGTAAAGAATTCCGATGTGACCCTGAGGCAAAAGTTGTTCATTTTATTTTTCTCCATAA